TTTATAAGTACTGTTTAAGAATATTATTTAATTTTTTAATTTAACTATTAATTTATAAATAATAAACTATACTTATCTCTTTTTTTATTTTAAATATATAAATAAAATTAAGTCGGAAATATTTTATAAAAATATTATTATAATATATAATAATCTTTATAGATATATTATATAAATAAAGATATTTTTTAATAAAAACTTTTATAAGACTTTTTTTATTAAGATTTTTTTATAAAAGAATTAAAATAAGCTATTTTAGTATATTAATTTATTATTATTAAAATATTATTAAAGACTTTTTACAAGCTCTTAATAATACTAGTACTTATAAATAAATTAATAATAAAAATTATTATTATCTTTTTTTAAAATTTTATAAGTATAAATAAAGATTCTAATAGTTTTTGTTATTTTTTATAAATTATTTTATTATTTTAATTTATTTTATAGATATAATAATATTTATTTATTAAATTATTTATTTTTAATTATTAGAATTATTATAATATTAGTATTAATATTTTTTTATTTATAAAATAATTTATAACAGAATTATTATACAGCTTTATAAATATTTAAATTTTAAGAATATATTTATTTAAAGTATATAATTATTTTATTTCTTATAAAAGTTTTTAAAATTCTTCTATTATAAAATCTTATTTATTTATTTTTTTTATAATTTAAAATCTTTAGAATCTTCTAGTGTTTTATAAATTCTTTATATTTATTAATTTTTTATTAATATTATAGATATTATAACTAGCAGCTTTATAAAACAAGTTTTATAATATAATCTTTTTATAATAATATTATTATTTATTATTTTTTTTATAATTTTTTATATATTTAAAATATATCTGTGAGTAAGAATTTATTTAATATTTATAAATAAAACTTTTATTTTTATACTCTCTGACTTTTGTAATCTAAGTAGATTAAATAATTATTATAAATCTAATTTATCTAGTTTCTTATAATACTTGATTATTAATTTCTTTTTTATAATTTAAATATTATAAAAATATAGTTACAGAATTCTATATATTTAAATAATAAATAAAATAGAATTAAAATATTATAAATAATTATATTTATTATATTTATCTTTATAATAGCTCTGAGCTTATTATAAAATACTTAGTAGTTTTATAATTAATAAATATTTTAATTATAAGATTTATCTTTTTTAATTATAGTAATATTATTTCTTAAAGAACTTTATTATTATAAGTAATAAAGAATTATAAATTTTATAATTCTTTATTACTATAATTATCTTTTATAAATAAAATATAATTAAAATTTATTAATTATTTATATTTCTTTATAATAATATATTATTAATTATAAAATCAGATATATCTATTTTAATATATATTTGTTTTTTTTAAAATAAATAGTTATAAATATTTCTATATATATTATTTTTAGCTACTTAAAGCTCTTCTAAATCTTAGTTTTAAGAAATCTTATATTAGATTTCTTTTTTTTATAAAATTCTTTAATAAAATCTTTAAATAAGATTATTATTTATAGATATTCTTAAATAAATTATTAGTATTAATTTATAAATTTAATAAATTATAATATATTTTCTATATTTTATAACTCTGATTACTTATAAATTATTATAATTTATTCTAATTTTATTTATATATCTTCGCGGCTGATAATAAAATTAAGAAAATTAATTTTTATTTATATAAAATAGTACTTACTTAGCTTTATATATAAATTTATTTTTGTCAAAATTTATATAATTTTATAAACTTATTTTTTATCTATTTTTAGATCTTATAAGTATATTATAATTTTATTAAAATAAATAATTATAAAGTTATTTAAATATTTTATAAATAAGAAATATAAAACTTTTAAAATTTTATAAATATATTAGTTAATTTGAATAATATAATTTAATAATTAAATAAATTATACTTTATTTAAAAAATAATCTTTTATTTATAATCTACTGTGATTTTTATTCTATAATAAACTTTTTTAAAATTAAATTATATAAATTATAATATTTTTATAAGCTAATTAATATAGTTATTAATTTATAATAATAAATATTTATTTTTAGTAATTTATTTATTTAATTTATAATAATTAATATATATTTACAGGCTCTTATTCTTTTTTTTATGTAAAAAACTAATATTCTGATAGATAATTTTTAGTATTAGATTTATTTATATATAAAATATTCTTATAAATACTTCTAAAGTATTTTCTATTTTATAAATAATATTTTATAAATTAGTTTTATTTTTAGCTTATAATTATTTTTTAAATTAATCTTTAGATTAATATTTAATTATAAAAATAGATAGTTTCTTATCTTATTTTTTATAAATATTATTTTAAAATTTTAAAGTTACTCTAAAAGTACTTTTAGATCTATTTTTTTATAAATAAATCTAATTATTATAATTTATACTTTTTTAATTTTTATTTTTTTATAAGAAACTTTATTATAGTAATATAATATATCTTAATTTATTATTTTCTATAAAGTTTTAAGTAATATTAATTAAACTCTATAATAAAGATCTCTATCTAAATATATAATATATTTAATATAATTTTCTCTATATTAGATATTATAATAATAATTTCTTTATAAATTATATATTTATTTTTATATTAATAAGATTTATATTAAATATTATAATTCTTTCTAATTAAATATTACTATTATTTAATAATCCTATAAAAAGCTTTATAGATATTATTAATCATTTTATAATTTTTATAAATATTATAGATATTAGATTTACTTTTATATTTATATTAATTAAGATATTAATTTTTTTAAATAAATTAGTTTTATTTTATATAAATAATTACTCTTGCAATCTTAAAATAAAATATATTATAAAAATATATTTATTAATTTTTTATAATTTATTTAAATTATAAATTATTTTCTAGAATTTTATTTCTGTGCTAGTAATAATCTTTTATTATATAATTTTATTTTTTATAATTAAAATATTTTGTTATTTTTATAAATATTAATATAAAATATTATAGAATAGATATTTATAATATATTTAATTATAAAATATCTCTCTGTAAGAATCTTTTATAATCATTTTAATTATTAGATTATTTTATTTAATTTATAAATAATAATAATTTCTTTTATATGTAATTAATTTTTTTATTTTATTAATTAATATTTAATCTTAATTTTATAGATAATACAATCAGATCTTATTTAATAATAAAAAGTTTAATTACTTTTAGTGTTTTTAGTTTATATTTTATAAAAATAATTTAAAGAATAAATATAATTATATAATATTTAATTTTTATATTTTATAATTTAGCTTTATTTTTATCTTCTTTTAATATTATAAATATAAAAAATTTATTTTCTTCTTATAAGAAATTATTTTTAAAATTTATAATTATATTTTATATTTATAATTTTTCAGATTATCTAGCTATGTCTTAAGAAAATTTATAAAAATTTATTTAATTATTTTTTTAAAAGAATCTTATAATTTTATTTTTTTATAGATTACTAAATATATAATTTAAATAAAGTATTATAATTTATATTTATTAATATTTATTTTAATTATTAATCTTTATCATAAACTCTTACTAAATAATAAATAATTAAAAAATAATATAATTATAAATATTATAATATTTATTATTTTATAATATATATATATATATATATATATTAATCTTTTTTAATTTTATAAATAAAATATCAGAATTATTTAAAGATTTATAACTTTTTTTATTATTTATAAAATTTTTAGGTCTTGATTCTAGTTCTGTAATTTATTAAAATATATTTAATTATTTATAAAAATTCTTAAAAAATAATAAAATTATATTTATTTTAATTATTTCTTTTATAATAGCTTTGTAATTAATCTTAAAAAAATTAAAAGATTTTTCTAAATATAATTTTAATAAATTATCTTATAGATTTCAAGTAATAAGATTATAAAAATATATATTAAGATAATATAAAAAAATATATTTATTATAAAATTAAAATAATATTTATATTATTTAAAATATTATTATTATTTTTTTTATCTAATTTTTCTTATTGATAAATATATTTATAAGAACTTTTTAAATAATATATTATATTAGTATAATTACTTTGCAAGAAACTGTCTTTATAATATAGATATTTCTTATAATATAATATATCACAAGTGTTATAAGGATTACTATTCTTACAGAAATAATAATACTCTTAATTTATAGTTTATTAAATCTTAATTAATTTAATCTTAATTTATAGTTTATTAAATCTTGATTAATTTAATCTTAATTTATAATTAATTTAATCTTAATTTATAAAAATAAATATACTTGCTATAATACAGATAGACAGTTTTTATTTTAAAACTTAATATTTAATAAAGTTATTTATAAATAGCTAGAAGTAAGTAATGAATAATTATATTATATTTAACTAGCTAGAAGATAAGATAATAACTAAAGATTATCTATATCTACTAACAGCTGCAGATGGCAACTACTCATCACAGCCAGTACAACTCGCCCCCTCTTCACCGCCTTCGGCAGTACGGAGTACTCCGTACTGTTCTGATGCCGGGCGGTAACGATGTTGTGTACGCTATGATATGCTGCAGGTAGGCAGCGCTTGACAGACGATAATAATACTCGGTGAGGCTATTCGCGAATTATGATCACTAATAAACTTGATAATATTGTAACTACCTAGGAGGTGAGAAGTGAGAGACAAGGCTATCTAGGCTGTTTGATCTGTAGGTGGCAGTTGCCCATTATGGCAAGTTCAACCCCCTCTCTCCTCACCGCCCCCTGGCAGTATCTACCTTACTACTCCGTACCGACTTTCCAAGCCGTATACGCATTGTCAGTGATTTAACACCCCAGCATTAGTCATTGTCATGTGACCTTATGATTTAACTTGCTCTACGGCACATTATTCAACTAGTAACTGTCAAACTCCATGGTACATGACTATTACCATAGTACCTAGAGGTAGCTGATGGTCCGAGAAATACAATAGAGAAAGCTACCCAAGTCTACACAGTACGTGAAATACTACTTGAACTCTTAGTAGCTCTACCTTCCTAACCTATTAGGTGCCAAGGGACTGGACTGGTAAATCGTTACATGCAGCAAAAACACAGGTCGGTCGTAAAGCCTGGTACGCCTCATACAAAACAGAATCTATCCAAATCATCCATTGATGATTCCCAGTTTCACTTTCACCCAGCAAGATCATATTGACCTGAAAAAGGGAAGATTGCACCCCCGACGGGCTAATAAAAATGGCGGCTCTTAGCGAAAACCTCCTTGTGACTGTCAACAAGCTCCAAGATCTCGTTTTCAATACGATTGGAAATGATTCTCTTGACTTGCCGCAGATAGTAAGTTCATATTCCCTAAAACCATTGACAACGTTATAGCACAGCATCGTGTTATTATTGCTACGGCGCTGATATCTACCCTAGGTTGTTGTAGGCTCTCAGTCCTCCGGCAAATCATCTGTACTAGAAAACATTGTTGGCAGAGACTTCTTACCAAGAGGAAGTGGCATAGTCACACGACGTCCGCTGATCCTGCAGCTCATAAATGTTCCCAGTGACCGCCATGATAGACCCGAAGGTGATGAAGTTCATATACCACATACAGCCGCAAGTGTAGCTGGACAGTATGAATGGGCCGAGTTCCATCACGTTCCAGGCCGCAAGTTCGATGATTTTGCCATGGTCAAGCAGGAGATCGAGGCGGAAACCGCAAGGATAGCGGGAAGTAACAAAGGAATCAACAGGCAGCCCATCAATCTCAAGATCTTTTCCCCTCATGTACTCAATCTTACTATGGTCGACTTACCAGGATTGACAAAAGTACCTATTGGGGATCAACCGTCGGACATCGAAAAACAAACACGGGCTCTCATACTTGAATACATAGCGAAACCCAACAGTATCATTTTAGCTGTCTCCCCTGCTAATGTTGACCTTGTTAATTCCGAGGCATTGAAACTTGCTCGGCAAGTCGATCCTATGGGCCGACGGACAATTGGAGTTTTGACAAAGCTGGATCTCATGGATCATGGTACCAATGCCATGGATATCCTTTCTGGCCGCGTCTACCCTTTGAAACTGGGTTTTATTGGGGTTGTCAATCGTTCACAACAAGATATCCAGTCTGGGAAATCATTATCTGATGCTTTACATGCCGAAGTCGACTTCTTCCGGCATCATCCAGCTTATCGAAATATGGCCAATCGGTGCGGTACACAATTTCTGGCGAAGACACTGAACACGACGTTGATGTCTCATATTCGAGATCGCTTACCCGACATTAAAGCACGCCTCAATACTCTCATGGGTCAAACGCAGCAAGAACTAGCAAGCTACGGCAATAAACAGTTTAGCGGGAAAGAACATCGTGGTTCTTTGATACTACAACTGATGACACGGTTTGCCTCATCTTTCATATCTTCGATTGATGGGACATCTTCCGAGATATCTACCAAGGAACTTTGTGGAGGGGCGAGAATATATTACATCTTTAACTCTGTTTTCGGCAATTCGCTTGAAACAATCGACCCTACCTATAACTTGACCATATCTGACATTAGGACTGCTATTCGGAACTCGACCGGTCCTCGCCCAAGTCTTTTCGTTCCAGAGCTTGCTTTCGATCTTCTTGTTAAACCCCAGATAAAAATGTTGGAATCCCCGAGTCAGAGGTGTGTTGAGCTAGTCTATGAAGAGCTCATCAAGATTTGCCATACGTGTGGTTCACAAGAACTACTTCGTTTCCCTCGCCTCCAAGCGAAATTGATTGAAGTGGTGTCAGATCTTCTCCGCGAGCGTCTGGGTCCTTGCTCAACATACGTCGAATCACTCATCTCTATTCAAAGGGCCTACATAAATACAAACCACCCAAACTTTCTCGGAGCCGCGGCAGCTATGTCGTCTGTTATCCAGAACAAGCAAGAGCAGGATCGAAGAGCAGCGTTAGTTGACGACAGGAGAAAGCGCGAGAAGAAAAGATTGAAGGAGCTTGGGGCCTTGAATGGCAACGCACCAGCATCGCCTGAAGATGAAGAAGAACAGTCAGAGCCGAAGGCCCAGAGTATTCCTATCCGGAGTCAGTCTGGAAGGGGCGCTAGGAGCATGTCCCCTCATTTTGGTAAGGGTCAAGAAGGCGGTGTTACAGCAACTCTCAATGGGTCATATACAAACCACCAAGCCACCTTTGGGACAGCAAATACCACTCGTGATTCATTCCTCAATTACTTTTTCGGCAAAGACGGCACGCAGAATGCCACCGCGTTATCCCAACTCCCGAACCAGAGTCGTCAGTATCCCAATACTAACGAAATCAGTGCTAGCAACGGTATTCGCCGGCCGGATTTGCGTTCCCCTGTTATTCCAGTTGAGGATCTTGCAACGCCTGTAGAGTATCCCGGTGACGTTGGGGCCTCTGTAAGTTCGGTTCTTTTTGCTGCCTTTCTTGAAATGCATACTTATTCACTATCTTAGCTCAAGGAAGATTCCGAAGCAGCTCTCTCTGAACGCGAAGTGATGGAGACGGAGTTGATTCGCCGGTTAATCTCTTCGTACTTCAATATTGTGAGAGAGACGATTGCGGATCAAGTTCCCAAAGCTATTATGCATCTACTTGTTAACCACAGCAAAGATGTCGTGCAAAATAGACTTGTCAGTGAGCTTTATAAAGAAGATCTTTTTGCGGAACTTCTCTATGAAGATGATGGCATCAAGGCGGAGAGAGAGAAATGCGAACGTCTGTTAGACACCTACAAAGAGGCTGCCAAAATCGTTGGTGAAGTTCTCTAGGCTCGAGAGCCAGGTTCATGCGAGGCCATGTCAAGTTCGTTTAGATTCGGGCCCCTGCGAGATACCAGAATTCGTGTGGTCTATTCTGTCGATGCAGAGCATGTCGTCAAATAGATTTATATGTAATTAGACGCTATTGTTTGACATACATCAATTACCCCAAGTCCTTGAAACAATTCCTTGGACGCGTCTAGAACCATACGTAGAAAAGGAATGCAAGGTGCTGCATAAGGTGCAGCATGGCAAGAGCAGGCGGCCGGATTAGGCATTGAGGGGAAGTCTCGGTATGAAGAAAGGACCATAGAAAAAGCAAGAAGTACACTTATTATCTTCCAACCAGGACATAATCCTGGCTGTTGAAGGGAAGAAAAGATAGATATGCTTTTTAACATGGGGTGACAGAGAGGAGAGATTAGCCAGTCCTTCTCTTTGACCGTGTGCCTTCGAAGCCGTACAAAGCACCACCTATGGATACAAATAGTGCACCGGTGAGGACACCTAATGAAAGGGAATTCCCAAACAAATAGATGGACAAAAGGAGAGAAACCAGCTTCCTGATATTCAGGACAACAGTAACAGTCAGTGAAGACGACTTCGCAGAAAGGAGGTGAACCCCACGAATGCACAGATACTGTGTGAAGGCATTGATTAGAAGATAAACCACCTTGACGGGAATGTGAGTAACCATGAACTGTGGCCAGAAGATATCCCTGAAATTTAGCAGTATCCCAGCCAGGGTTCCAATGGTTGGGCGTTCAGTGATTAGAGATGTATGCCTTGGAAGGCAAACACCATCTGGAGAGAAAGATTCCAATCGGGCAGGTAGGGAATCCTTTGAGGATAATGTCTGCCATTGATTCGCAAGTTGCTTGTGAGTTGGCAAAAAAAGGGGTATTGATAGAGTGTGAGAATAAAACAGGGCTTCTTTCCAGTGATCCCTGCCATACTTTTCATAGAGTTGGTCCGCATAGATGCCCTGGAAGGCCGAGAGAATCATTGCCAGGGCAAGGATGATAAACCCAGCTAGAGTAGTCACTGTAAGTTCGCTTTCGACATTCATCGACTGACCCTTGGCCCTAGCATCTGCCAAAGCAGCAGTGACAACCCCCAGTGTAAGCATCAACACTGCAGATACCTGACCACGTGAGTATTTCTTCCCATTGAACAAATAACCAATGCCCATGGAAGCTACTGGGCCTCCTGATCTAAGTATTATATGCAATGGTACAGAAATCTTGTATGCGAAAGCCCAGTTATTTAGAAGATTGACGGCAACAAAGAACGCCGTGTAGCCGAGCCATAATCTTAAGGGAATCGCACGCGGGCGGAGAAATAGCAATTGAGGACCTGCGGACAAAGAGACAAAGCTTGGAAAGGTGATGAAGGAAGTTAGAAGAAATTGGGCGAATGTTATCAGGGGACCTTGGAACAAACACGTTAGAAGACAGCTATGGTGTTATTGAAGCGACAAAAATTAATTACCAGAGCTTGGCTGATCCCTGGATAAGAAGTCAGTTCTTCATCTCACATTTAATGATTATTATCAACTTACTTAATGATAGCCTCAAGTGCAAACACCTGTCATCTTATGTCAGTAACAAGCATGACCTGATCTAACCCACACTCACATTTGTACAGCAACCACCAAATATTAAAGAAGATATTAAAATCAAGCCTGTCCATGTAGGCAATGCTGTGGAGATTGCGGTGCTTGATATGCTGGTCAAACATTCATATATGGATTTTCTAGAATCATCGTGTGCATTATTCCTTAACTGCCAATGCTGATTCTTGTGTGTATTAATTTTGCTAATCTTGTTGTCGGAGGACAAGGGACTTTCGGGTTTGACATCAGCTCGTGAGTTGCGCTTTCTCTGTGTAGGATGGGTATTCTGTACATGAGCCATCTCCCTTGGGATGTAACTGCGGGTTGATTGGTCTTGTTGTATAGAATGGAAGATGGTAGAGAGGACTCGGAAACAAGGGAGGGGGGCTTGCAAGAGGGAGGTGAGAAGTCAATCTTCAATATTTATTCTGAGCTAGATAGAAGTCGAGATTGTACTCAAGATTACATGTGGGTAACGCCACCTGAAGTGGATTCTCAGGGGTGTAGGGGCTTCCGGACACTTCACCTGTACACAGCCTAAGACACAGAAGCAGAATACTAGTAAAAAATAAGAACAGAACTTCTTAGAGTTATAATATTAATAATATAAATAATTAAGAATTATTAGTTGATAATTATTAATAGATTTTTCTTATAAATTATCAGAATATATACTTAGTTTATATAAAAACATATTATAATTCTTATTATATAAATTTATTATTTATAGTAATTTTCTAATTATTATTTAAATAAAATCTGTTTTTATATTTTATATAGATATAATTAATATATATTATAATTCTTTTATAATTAAAAACAGAATATCTATTATATATAAATATTATTTGAATTATCTTTTATAATATATAGTAATCTATTTCTGTTAGGGGAATGATTAAATTATGCTAATTATAAGGATATGTGTTGAGATAGTATAAAGAAAGTATATCTATTATAAAGTTAAGATAATATCTGTATTACTTAAAGTATTATTATTAATTTTTTATCTAGCTTTTCTTATAGATAAATATATTTATAAAAATTTTATAAATTATATATTATATTAATATAATTATTTTATAAAGAATTATTTTTATAATATAAATATTTTTTATAATATAATATATTATAAATATTATAAGAATTATTATTCTTATAATTATTTCTTTTTTTAAAATCTTGATTTTTAAGATTATTATTTATAAAAAATTAAATATTATTAAAATATCTGTTATAAAATCTTCTTTATAAGAAAATTAATTAAAAAAAATAATTTCTTTTATAATATTTATTTTATAATAAGCCCGCTGTGGCTGTTCTATACAGCTATAATTATATTATTATTTATTATATTTTAGATCTTCTTTTCTATAATTATAACTAAGTAGTAAATATAGTATAATATTTTTAATTTAAATATAAATCAAGACTTGATACTTAAAGCTTAGAATTAAGAAAGAATATTTTTAGTAAATCTTTTTTTAACTCTCTCTGCTCTGCAGTCTTTTTTTTAATTATTATTATTATTATTATAAATAAATACTTGTCTAAAGAATTCTTATAAATATTTATAACTATAATTATCTCCACTTATAGCTGTCTGTATTCTTATAGCTGTCTGTATTCTTATAGCTGTCTGTATTCTTATAGCTGTCTGTATTCTTATAGCTGTCTGTATTGTTATAATCATTTATATTCTTATAATTATTTATATTCTTATAATTATTTATATTCTTATAATTATTTATATTCTTATAATTATTTATACTCTTACAGATCTGGAATAATTATATTAAATTTATAGATACTTGTTATTTTATAAATCTAAGATATATAATCTAATCTAAGAATTATAATTAATTATCTTAATATCTTTTTTATTATATTATATATTATATATTTTTCTTTCTTATAAGAAAGCTATTATATTTATTATAAAATTATTATTATTATTTATTTATTATTTGTTTTATTTTTTTTGTATATATCTATAATAAGTAATTTTTTAAAAAGATTTATCTTATATTTTATAATTAATATAAAGCTAGATTAGTCTACTTTTATAACTATTTTATTATTATTATTATTATTATTATTATTATTATTAATACTATTACTATTATTTTTATTATAACTTTTTTTCCCGCGGTAGATATCTATTCTTTTTTTAAAATATAAAAAGCTAATTTAAGTATAATTTATTATTTTATTAATTAAGATTTTTAGAATAGTCTGACTCTGTGATTATATTTCTTTATATTTTACTTATTATTTATTATTATAATAAAATTATTATTTTAAATAATATTCTTATTACTCCCGCGATTTATAAATTATAAATAAATAGATAATTCTTTTTTAAAAAATATATTTAGAGCTGTCTGAGATTAATCTATTTTATAAAATATTACAATTATAAACTAGGCTTTAACTTAGTTTATAAATCTGTTTATAATAAATTAATTTATTAATATCTTTATAAATATATTAATAATTTTATTAGATTTGTTCTAAATAGAATTACAGTCTTTGTTTAATTATAAAAATTATTAAATTATATAGCTAGTAATAAAATCTATATTTTTTATTAAATATAATAATTATTATTAATTAAAAATCTAGGTCTAGTTTTATAAAATATTTTCTATAATTAAAGCTAATTAACTCTTTTTTTCTAATTAAATATATAATATATATTATAATCTCTCAGTCTCAGGCTTAAGAATATTTATAATATATATTAATAATAATTATAGATAAAAATATAATAATTATATTTAGAATAATTATAAAATCTATTTTTTATATATTAAATAAATAATTTATTTATTTTTATTTTTATAAGTATTTATTATATTTTATATTTTAATTATAATTAGATAAAATTCTTTATAGATAATTCTTTCTGTTATTTTATTATTTTATTTTATTTTATTTTTTAAATTAAGATTATACTTACAGATAAATCTTTTATAAAATTATAAATAATATAGATTTGCGGCTGATTTCTAGATATCATTTTTATTAGAATAATTCTTTTATTTAATTAAAAGTTTTAGAAATCTATTCTAATTCTATAAGATTAATAATATTTCTAAATAATATTCATAATTATTTTCTTTTATAAAAAAATATTTCTGCGAGTTTATTTTATTTATTTTATAATATTTATAAAATAGTGTAATATATAAAATATATTATATATTTATAATTTTATAAATAATTTCAGTCTATAGACTTAAAAGTTTATTTATTAAATAATATTATAAGATTCTTTATTTTATAAATCTAGCTTTTTACTAGTCTGTCTTTATAAAAGATATTTTATAAATAAAAAGTTTATAAATTTTTAAAATCCTGCAGATATATTAATTAGTTTGAATAATATAATTAAATACTTAAACAGACTATATTTTATTTAAAAAATATTTTTTTATTTATAATCTACTGTAATACCTATTTTATAATAAACTTTACAAAAATTTAGTTATATAAATTATAATATTTCTGTAAGCTAATTAATATAGTTATTAATTTATAATAAGAAATATTTATTTTTATAAATTTATTTATCTAATTTATAGTAGTTAATATATACTTATAAATTTTTATTTTTTTTATAAAGAGAACTAATATTTTAATAAATAATTTTAAGTATCAAATCTATCTGTGTATAAGATATTCTTATAAACAGATTTAAAATATTTTCTATTTTATAGATAATATTTTATAGATTAGTTCTATTTTTAATTTATAATCTTTTTTTAGATTAATGTTTAAAATAATTTAATAAATAATCTGATATAGATATTTCTTATATATAATTAAAAAAATATTATATATTAAAATATCTTTATTATATTATATTAAGATAATCAGAAAGTTATTAAAATTATAAAAAATCTAATAAATTATTAATAAATAAAATATATCTTTATCTAATATTATATTATTTATAATTATATTATAAATAAAAAGATTCAGATTATCTATCTATTTACAGAGAATATAATAATAGATAAATTAATTAAAATAATTATATAGATTAATTAGATATATTTTATTAAAGATTTAAAGCTTAATTAAATAAGTAGAAAAATTAGTTTTAATATATTAATATATCTAAATTTTTTTCAATATTTAATACAGCTTTAATTTATACTTATTTTAATTATTTTAATTTAGAAGATTAATTATATATTAAAAAATATAATACAGCTAGATTTATAAATAGAAGATTATTTTATCTTTAATTAAATAAATACATATTTTGGCAAATTCTTTAAAAAAATCTATCAGTAATTATTAAATAGAAATTATTAAGTACTTAGAATATTAATATTATAACTCTAAGAAGTATTTCTTCTATCTTTTACTAGTAATCTGTATCTGCGCCTTAGGCCGTGTACAAGTGAAGCATCCGGAAGCCCCTACACCCCTGAGAATCCACTTCAGTACCCTTATCCGATCTCCTCGGTACTAGTCAGTTGCGGGGTTCCACAGGCTGCGACTCCTTGGTACCTCGTAGCCCTCTCCCCTTATCTTCGCTCGGTGTGACGCTGGCTGTTAATCAGATCATGCCATCGATGCTCTTTTGCTCGTGACCAATTCAGCTATAAAAAAGGTTCGATTTATAGTTGACACACCTCCGCCTCAACCAAGCCCGTGACGTTTTGCCGACCCACAGCGCGGCACTACCCTTTGCCATGGAAAGCAATGTATCCGAGCTTGTTGAAAGGCTTGGAAGTGACGAAGATGCAGTGCGCAAGATGGCAGTCTTTAAGCTCCAGGGTAGCATTGGAGATCCTTCTTTCGCGGATATTTTCATTGCAGAAGGTGGCCTGGCTAGATTGCGATACCTGACCTTACATGCAAGTGGTAATACACTAGCATATAGTCTCACAAGCTTTGCAAGATTGCTAGAAGTCGACAAAGGGTGGGATATCATAGATCAGGAAGTGATTCAAAGAGTAGGTTACATTAATATATATCCCCTGAACATACACACATGTGAAATCGTGTTTCAAAAAGCCATACTGATTTAATGCGCCCTCTTGTTTCCCAGGTCGTTGAACTTATTGTGACCCATCCCTTGGTCAATATCCTCAGGGGTGCAATGTCTATCTTAGTTTCCATTGTATCTCATCCATATACAGGTAATAATTTATCGCAAGGCAAAGATTTTGGCTTCCCTGCATTGAAACCCGCAGTTGCCGTCTACCCACAGTTCCTAGAGATGCTTGTCAATAGGCTTTCCTCTGCAGATCATGCCCTCTGTGCTAATGCACTCCAACTAATCAACTCACTTATGCGCGAATCCATTGCGAATGAGTCTGATATGCAGTGGCCTAAATTCATCCAGAAGTTGCAGGACCTGGGTGTGATCAGGGCAGTCTACTCTCTCATGCAGGAAACTGCATTACAGGATCATATGCACCCATTGATAGAGTTCCAGTCTCTAACGAAAGTTCTTCTGAGAAAGTGGAGGGGTATTCCCCTGGATTTGGAAAACCCCGAACATAGAAGGGCATTAAAAGGGATTCATCTGGCCAGCTTACATGAACGACGAAGCCAGGATATATGTATAGGGACTGGGACTGGGACGCCGAACTCAAAGAAGCATAACCCCATGAAATGGAGGCGTCTTGGGTTTGAGACAGAAAGTCCGATTATGCAATTTGAGCATACCGGTTTCTTGGGGATGATGGATCTGGCCGATTATGTCCGGAACCATCAAGATGAATTTCAGAAAATGCTTTTGGAGCAGTCTGGAAAATCAGGCCACCAATGCTGTCCCATCGCCCGCGCTTCACTCTCCGTCACTTTAATCCTCTATGAGCATTTTGAGGTGGACAAGTCGGAGATGGATGACAGCAAAAGTTATCTCTTATTGGAATCTCGCTCTAACCTCGACAAGCTATTTGAGCCTCTGATATTGCACTGGACAAGATTGCATATTGCAGGACTGCATGCTTTTTTCCGTTTATGGAAGGCCACGGGAGCGGAGTCAGAAGACTACGAAAGAATCGTCGAGCTGGTTCGAATTCTTATTGAATCTGTTGTTGGAGGAGCAGTTCGCACCAAGGACGTGCAGGAAGTGGAGGAGGAGATGGCCAGTTTTGAATATAGCCGGCTCCGTGGATTGCAGATGGAGTTGTTGGAACTCACGTATGAGGATGTATGGGGACAACATCTGATGCAGATGCGTGAAGAGTTGTATCATGAGGCCCTCCAGTTTATTAAGGAGCAGAGAATTCGATGCCTGCTGCAAGGAGCCTGGTTCCCCAGCGAAACCTCACTAAACTTGGGATTGGGATATGAGAAAGTTTCGTGGACATATGCCCAACTCTCACATAATAGGAGGTATCTACATTTTGGGGGCTTCGATGCCATCAAAAAAGGGCGCCCCGAGCTGGACGCTCTGCCAGAGAAAAGTAAGGGTGTTCCCTAGCTTCCATGTCCAAATCACATTGCCATTAAACTAATTGATTTCTACGTTGTTAGTTGATCTGTCACTAGTATCTTCAGTGGTGTCAAACGTTTCGGCTTCTAATGATCCCTTGTTACCCAATGAGAAAGACATTCCTCCTGCTTCCTATACGAAAATCACTATCCATGGTCACTTGTACCCTGTTTCCACTACAGGAGACACTCAGAAAAACGACGGCCAAAATGGAACCTTGAGCAAATCAGCACAAGAGGTGGTGTTATTGAGTCTTCATCCACCATCCCCTAGCGTTGCGTCTGAATGGCTCGATGGTCTGCTCATGCTTCTCAATCAACAGCCTATCACAGCAAAGACAAACAAGCTGCTGAACTTAGTCAGCAATTATGGGCTCAAGATCCGTTTGTTAAATGTCCGATTTAACGATGTAGCATTCACAGCCGAAGCTCCACCTGTTCCTCCACGAGATGACCTTGATAATGATTATTATTATGACGTGTTTGGCGGCACATAGCAACTTCTTACTGGCTAATAATAATATAGACTGCTTGTGGAATACATGCTGTGCAGTGAAAGTAGTTAAACTTTTTTTGGGATTTTGTTTGCTTCCTCACCACCTGCTAGGGTTGCTAGTATCGGTATGTAATCAAAAGTTACTGTCCTTGACTGGTGATGTAAAAGGTTTGCTGAGCTAGAGCCCTAGGGTAATATCCACGACCTGGGCACCCGAAACAGTAGACTGATGCATTTCACATGGCATAGGTGGAATCTGGCTGGCGTATAATAGGGCGCAACTACGGCGCACATACATACACACCTAATAGGCTATATACACACCAGATGAACATTTCCTCTGACCAAGTAAGAACAATGTTCTTTGACTGATGATTTGCGGTTCCCCAAACATCTCCTGTGTCGGTGATTGTTCAAACTGATATAAGTATTTCATACAATGCCACATGCACAGCAGCCGTGTAGTAAATCTCTTTATATTAAATTTCATCGATAATATCATCATCAATGGGGATAGGAATTCCTTCAAGAGCCAGTAGTGGCTGGAGTCCAGCATGGCTCGTTCGTTGATGTGCGTTCAGCGCTGATCCCTTCAACAGACTATACCTCCGATTAACACCAGGTGTCATGAAGGACAGCCCGTCTGACTCATAATTCTTATTTTCCATGGCATTTGTCTGAAACTCGGATGCAGCTATCTCAGTGATCCTCTTGAGTTCTTTCGAGCTCTCCATGCAAATTGTCAACATGGACAAGTATGGTAGTTGATGAAGTATGAGATCATTGCGTGATATCCTTGTCAGGACCATTTTTGACTCAATGCCGTGATTGCCGTTTGCAGCTCGGTTAGCTGCCCCAGATAAAGAGCCACTAGCACCGACCATAGAGCCAAATTTTGGCCAACTGAATTGGTCTAATAGCCTGCTTGACCATAAGGATACAAGGCCTTGTATCTCTTCTCTGTCACGAATAAGACGTAATGAGGTGGGAAAGAACATTGAGTATGTACTTATTGTATGTCCTAGGCCTTTTTTTGATGGTGTTGACCTCATCACAGGGCAAGGAAGAGCAAACAAGATGCCAAGAGCTGCAACTTGATAACTGATATCGTTTTGACGCAAGATATCAACGCCTGTCCCATCCACACTCCCCCAAGGTCTCCTTTGCCCTTGCAGGCGAGGAGACAGCACATCACTGTCTGAAAGTGCACTTATACACCCATCTAAATATTCCGTGAAAGATGACCCATTGCAAGATGGAACATAGTTTTCATGCAGAGTGCTAACGAATGTTTGGTAATCGGTTCCAGTCTCATCAACAAGTTCATTAACACACACCTGAGACAGTTGTGGTCGTCCATGATGGGTTAGGTGCTCTGGAGGTAAGACAGGACGGCGGCCCGTCATTGAGACTACATCAGCCCGTTTGTTATATACCACCTTGCCAACAGCATGGAATAGCCCAAGGCTTGCTTCTCGTTGTGTCACTAGCTGCAACGTCTCCCTTTCTATTGATGTGAGGGTTGTTCGACCTCGTTTTGACTTCACAGCACTGATTGAAGTATTGGCTGGCTGGAAGTCTTCGGATTTCAAGCAGAGAAATTGTAGCGAAGAAATTGCACTGCGAATATCCCCTATTTTGGATATACTGTGCAGAATAGCGGAACTTGGAGGGGCTTCACGATCAGAAATAGAGGCTTTCTTTTCTAGAACAAGATTCAAAGCTTTGTACATAATTGTCGGGGCTATAGCGTTGAAATCAATGATGCTCGTTCTTGGATGGTTGTATAGCTCTGGGCCCAGTAGCCGGTGTACGGTTAGTTTATCTGACTGGGAAGATTGCGAGTCAAGAAGCGTCTCAGAGACGATGATCACAATTGGAGAGGTCACTGGCTCGCCACTCTCCGTTTTGGCTTGCTCTGGTTTGGCCGACAAACACTTTTGAAGGGTTAGTCTGAAGGCAGGCAAATTAGTTGATTGACCTGTAAGCGTAGGGTATTCCTCGATGAGTATGATACGTCGCTTTGAAGTAGAGGCAATGCGGTCGTCTGTTACAGTCACAGGAGATCCGTTCACTCCACTCAAATCAAGACCCCCAAACTCATTGCCACGACCCAAAAATTCTTCGAAGCGGGAAGCAGCTGATATATGTGTTGTAGTGACCAACTCAGATGTTGAAGGATTTTTCCATTCAAGGATATCAAAATCCAGTACCTTGGACAATAATGAGATTGTGGTCGTTTTGCCACTTCCTGCAGGCCCTCGGAGAACAAGCAGCTTCATTTTTGTTAGTTATCCCAATTGTCGTAGAGCAAGGAGACGAAGTCCTTCTGGCAAAAGCCCTCAAACCTCGATAAAACATATATTGGCGATATTGAGAGGGACAGCATACCTGTCTTCCACTTCTGTGAAAGGAATTCACTAACCAGTTCTTCACATCAGACACCTTTTTCTTATGAACTGCCAGCTCGTCTAGATTAGAGGGCGGAAACTGTTGTACCCAAGGAAGGCCCTTTTCCTGAGAGAGAGAACATGATTGTTGTGGTCGAACATCTGGAGGATATGAAATTATAAAACGTTGAGGCAGGCTGCTGGATTTCCGAGTGTAGTTTGAGGCTCTTTGAGGGGATGCAATGATCTGATTCTGGGAGTCGGGTGTCTCTCTGCTCTGATGCAATGTGATTTTATCATTCAAGATATGGTGGGAAAATATCTCATCGAACAAGTCATAATCATCGTCAATGATATCATCATTGTCATCTTTCCCATCCTTTGCATTGACATCCTGGCTGAAAGCCACATGCTCGGTGGTTGCGGAGTCAATAACTCTTCTAATGGTTGAATCTGTGGTTGCGGTACTCTGTGGGTATTTGCGTTTCATATTCCTTTGATAGGATAGAGACGTCCCAGGGGGAAAAACAAGTTTGGTTACATGAAACGCGCAATTTAAATTATAAGAGTCAGTTGGTTGTAACCAAGAATGTTGATCGCGATACAGGTAACTAGTTAGTAATAGATGGAATCTTCGTGTATACTATCATTCGTCCGTGAAAAGGTACATACTGTGGCGCTCCTTCCTCGAAAGGACGCTTGCCTGATTAGGCACCTTCCGGACGGCACCTCTATGCCCCTTCCTTCTCCTTGTCTAGTACCTTGCATCCGTAAACACCTTACAGAGTCATTGAATACGCGCTAGTTCCACGTACATCTTCATCTCCATTGAACCCTTGATAGTGGCGGTTACGGGGTTTTAGCCCATCAATACATACTACGGGGAACTCCGTACTGATAAGGGACTAGGCGGTAAGGATGAGTAGAGATGCTATGGTATACTGCAGGTAGGCAGCCGGGCATACAGCTCCAGCGGGTTCAGAAAAAGTTGCGGAAGAATCAGGCCGGAATCAGAATAAGTGTTGATAAGAATCAGAAAATAATAATAAAATTATCTAATCTTTATAGAGATTCTAATTTTTACTAAATTTAATTATATAATTTTTTTAATTTTTATAAAATTTTATTATATAATTTTCTGATTTTTATAAAGCTATATTATTGTTTATTATTATTCTTAAAATTTTTTATTTATAAGATTCTTTTTAGATCTGTACATATAATTATATATAAATATAATTTTATATAAATATAATTTTATATAAACTTTTTTATAGAATTATCTATATTTTTTAATAAAGTTTTAGAATAAATTAGAGTGGCTAACAGCCAGGTCAGGTCAGATTAATTAGAATTTTTATATCTAATCACCAGATTATAATCAGATTAAGAAAATTTTTATATCTGATTATAATATAGCTAAAAATCAGATAATTAATTATTTTAATTATTCTTAATATTAAGATCTATCTACTATATCTTTTTAAGCTCTAGTATAATTAAGATATATCTAGATTAAATAATTATTAATCTGGCTATTTTTATTATTATCTAAAAATATATAAAAAGAAGCTTTTTAGATTAAAAAAATATAATTAAAAAAAAATTAGTATCTTTTTTATTATTATTTATTAGAAATAATAAGAAAATTCTAGTTATATTAATAAAATTTAGTTTTTTATAAAATTATTATTCTTATAATAAGAAATATATATAAAGATATATAATTATTACTCTATTTTAATTATATATCTTAATTATATTATAGAATACTAGAAAAATTATATATTAATTATTAATTAAAATACTAAAAATAAATATATTATTTCTATTTTATTATTTTTTTAAATTAAATTATTCTTAGATTTATAAATAAAATATAGCTCAAAGAGCTATTAATAAAATCAGAAATAAATAAAGAGTTAAGAAAATTATAAATAGTTAAATTATTAGAATAAAGTAGATTAAACAGATTAAATAAATTAAATAGATTAAATAAGTAGAACAGATAAATAAAATATTTAAATAAAATATACTAGATCTATATTATAATACTATAGCTCTTATAAAAAATTCTATAAAAGTCTTTTATAAATTTTTTTTATAAATATCTATTTTTTATTTTAATTTATTATATTTTAAATAGCTTTATTTAAAAAAAGAAATTATTTTATAATTTTAAGTTTTAAATATAAATTTCTATTTATTAAATCTATTATTAAATTTATAATCAGAGACTAAATTCTATTCTATTATTATATTAAGCTTTTATTTTAATCTAATATTTATTAAATAAAGTTTTTTATTTTTATTTTTTTATATTTATTATTTATAGAACAGTTTCAGAATTATAAATTAATTATAATTATTTAATTTATTTTTAAAAAATATTATCAAGTTTTTTTTTTTTATTTCTTAGATTTTTATAAATTATAATAATATCTAAATTAAGATAAACTTCTTAAGTTAGATCTTTTCTTCTCTTCTAAATCTTAAGATTATATATATTATAAAGAATTAAAAAATTATTTTATATTTAATTTTTGAAAAAAAACTTTTTATTTTTTAGAATTAATAACAGAAGATAATCTTTTCTAAAAATTATATATAAATTTAAAAATTATTATTTTATTTTAATTAAAAAAAATTATTAATAATATAAGACAGCTTTCAGAAAAATATATTATTTTTTAATAAAATCTTTTATATTTATTATATTATATATTTTTATATTTTATAATATTTAAGAATTAAAAACTTAAAAACTAGTTTTATAAGCTATTATTTTTATAAGACTTATAAGAAAAAATTATTATTAATTATATCTAAATAAATAATTAGTTAGATACTAAGTAAAGAATTATTATAGATATTTATTTATTTTTTTAAAATAAATTTTTTTTAATTATTATCTTTTTTTAAATCTCTATAATTTATAATAAATAGGATTTTTAAAATTAAGTTTTATATTTTATAATTATCTATTATCTATTATTTTAAATTATTAAATATATTTAATTTAAATAAATAATTAATCTTACTGCTTTATCTTTCTATTAAAAATTAAGTTTTTTTAATTAAATATAAATTAAAAAATATTTTATAAAACTATCTAAAAAAATATATATATAATTATTATTAAAATTTCTAAATATTAGATAGATATTAATTATAGTAGACTATTAAATCAGCTTTAATTAAAAAATATTTTTTAATTTAATTAAATATTTTTTAATAAAAAATATAAATTATTATAAAATTTTACTAGACTTCTGACTAATATCTGAATTTTATACTAATAAAAATCTAGCTATAATTATTCTATTAATTTTATATAAATATAATCTTATCTATTAATTATTAGATATAATAATTAATAATATTAATAATAATAATATAATATTTAGTATAATCTCAGCTAAACTCTGAACTTAACTTAGCTAAAATATTTAATTTTATAATATTCTAATTAATTTTAATTTTTTAAAGATTATTTAAAACTAGTATTATATTTTCTGTCTTATTTATATAATTTAATTTATAATTAATACTTTTCTACAGAAATTTTAAATTAAGATCTTAAATAATATTATTAAATATATATAAAAAATAATAATAGAAGTCTTGAAATTTTTTTAATATTTTAAGAATTTTTAAAAAAATATATTCTAGAAACTATTTATAAAAGACTAATATAAAATCTTTTTTTATAAAAAGTTTTTAGAAGTTTTCTATTAGTTAGTTTATTATATTAATTCTTAATTATAGATTCAGAAGATTATATAATTTATAAATATAAGCTTTTAATATTATAAAAAATTCTTATTTATTTAATAATTTAAATCTGGCTTAGTTTATTATTTTCTTTTTAATTATAAAATCTACTAGAACTTAATTTATCTTATAATTTATTAAATATTTAATCTCTATTAAATAAATAAAAGTTTTATTTAATATTATAAATATAATAATATTAATTATTTTTATTCTATTATAATTAAATAAAAATAAATAAAATATTTTCTTAAGTTTTTATATTTTTTTTTTTATTTTCTATCTCTCTAAGAACAGTAGGCCTATTATTTATAAGATTTATAATATTTATAATAATTTTTTTAATTATCTGAATTATTTAATTAATAAACTAGAAAAAAAATAAGTATTTTAAAAAAAAATATTCTTAAGAACTTATATAATATATATTAAAAGCTCTGAAAGTATTATTATTATATTTATTAAATAAAAAACTATATTTATATAATTATAATTATTCTAGATCTAATAATAAAACTTAAGAAGTTTAAGAAAAATATATAATTAAATAATAATATTAACTAATATTATAAGTATTAAACTATCTTTAAAAAGATATTTTCTTTTTATTTTAATTAAAATCTAATAATTAATATATTATTAATAGTCTTCAGATTATTATTAAATCTAGATAAAATTTTTTATAATATTTTTAAATATTAGAGACTCTTATCCGCAGTTAAGATATATAAAGAACTTAAAATATATCTAGATATTAAAAATATATAGCTTCTTAAGATATCTTTAATTAAATTAATATAATTTTAGATATTATAAAATATATTAATATTCTTATTTACTAAAAGTCCTGCTATAATTAGTTTTTAAAAATTTTTAAGATATCTATTATTATTATCAAAGCTATCTTAATTCTGATATAATTAAAATAATTATATTTTAAATATATATTAATTATTTTATTATAAATAAAAAATATCAGAATATATTTAATAATCTTAATTTAGATTTAATTATTTTTATATTTAAGAAATAAAAAAAAATAAAATAATTATTATCTTCTATATTAGTAAGAATAAAAATATAAATAATTTTAAAAATAATCTAGAGAATAAATTATTATTAGAATTAAAAAAACTAGTCTTATCTAAGTCTTTAACTATTATATATACTCAGATAAAAATAAAGATCTGATCTTTATAATTTTTATATTATTATAATTATTATTCTAAATAATATAAAGAATAAATATTCTATATTTTTTTTATTTTTTTTATATTAGATTCTATAAAAGTCTTTTTTAAAATATAGTATATTTTTTAAGATAACTAGTTAAATAAATTAAATAGTAGACTATATCTAAAGAATATTATTATATTTATATTATAATTAAATATATATTATACTTTATATATTATTTATATAAAAAAGATATATATATTATAAATTAATTTATAGTTATTAATCTATCTGCTATATCTGATTTTTTTAATTAATAGATATAAATAATTATAATAATAGTTATATCTTAATCTAATCTTAATTATATAATTAAAAATTTTTTATATCTTAATCTGACCGCCAGATTATAGCCAGGTTAAGATTAAGATATAAGAGTCAGGTTAAGCCACTCTAGAATAAATCTTAAAAAAAAGCTTATTATAATATAAATTATAATCTCAGAAAAAGTTTATAAAAATCTTTAATAGATTCTTTAATAATATTTTATATATAATAGAGTATAGTATATATATATATATATATATATTTAAATTAGTACTATAAATATTACAGATTTAAGTCTGATTTTAAGCTTTATTTATTAAGAAGACTATACTTAA